CTTCCACTGAGATCTAATTCTTATGTATAAGAAAATCACTGGAATGCATTTTGCATCCATTGAGATGTTAAATAAAGAATTAATTACACATAGGCTCTTAGAAAAAAGTATTTTTGCACTATTAATTATGTGATAACCCTGCTTAGTTTACTAACTCGCTTGTCCCAAGACCGGGTAAAGAAAGACTATTGGGTGTGGGATCCTACACCGCAAAACCAATCAAACTGCTACCGAAACTTCAAAGCACAATAAAAATATTAAAAATACAGAAGATATAAAAATAAACTTATTCTTCGCCGGAATCCAAGAGGTGAAATAACACAGAGGGCTGGTGAAAGCCTTCGGGAAGCCAGTCAGCCGGTTTGCCTTCTTTCGATGGAAGCAAAAATGAGAATCAGGACGTGGAATACTCACACAGTGTACGAAACTGGGAAGGCCGCCCAAGTAACCAACGAAATGAAAAGATACGGCATAGAAGTGCTGGGAATTTGCGAGAGCAGATGGAACGGATGTGGACTATCAAAAGTGTTAACTGGAGAGTCAGCAATCTACTCCGGTCTGATCACCCAGAAGACAACTAAGAGCACACTGAGGTAGCGAGTGTCTACCATAATGCCACCGACAGCAGTCGAAGCTATCATCCAGGATCATGACAGCAAGTTTCAACTCATAGGCATAGAAGGAAGGTCACAATAATTATGCAATGCTACGCACAGTGATAAAAACAACGCAGAACAAGAGAAGAAGGAAGAAGTTTACACACAACTACAAACAGTAGTGGGCAACATCCCAAATGCTGACCTCAAAATCCGCATGGGCGATATGAATGCAAGCCAAACTAGGTCAAGAGGCTCCCGCTCGGAGAAATGAATGAGAACGGAGAGTGATTCGCAGACTTCTGTTCTTTCAGTGATCCAGTGATCGGAGGCAGCGTCTACAAACACAAGGACATACACAAAGTAACATGGATTTCGCCTGACAGACACACCATGAACCAGATAGACTTCAAATCAATGTTGCTCAAGACAGTGGAAACCCAGCTTGCTGAACACGAAGTCGAGAAGGAGAGCAAATGTGGGCTCAGACCATCACATACTGCCAGAAACCTTCAAGGTGAGGCCGAAATCCCTCAAAACAACTGAGGACAGGCCATTGTAATTCATGTTCAACATTCAGAAACTGAAGGACAAAACCACGAGGGATACCTTTACTACAGATCAGATCAGAGCAAAGTCGGAAACACTACGTGGTATGACTGAGGAAACCTGTGTGGAAGAACATTGGAACTAACTCTCTGAGGGTGATACTCAAGGAAACGTGTACAACTGTTCTAGGACGAAGGAGGAGACAAGACAAGGAATGGCTCTGAACGGACACCTACCTGGAAGCTAATAGAAGAGAGGAGAGGAGAGGAGGATGGTGAAAGAGAAGATGACTCAATGCAAAGATGGACAACAGAGGGAGAAGCTGAGTTCACAGCAATCTACACTGCTGCACTGAATCAAGAAAGACGTGAAGAAGAGTGCTAGGAAAGACGAAATACAATTCTACAACACACTGGTCAGCAACTGAAGCAGAAAAGGCCGGCAAGCTGCAGGTAGAAGAGACCTCAGGACATTATACGAGATAACCAGGTCTCTACCTGAGAAGAGATCTACGCAGGTGATGAGACCAATAAAAGATGTTTAAGGGAACCTGATTAGTAAGGAGTAGAAAGAAAGAAAACAATAGGCTGATTACTTTGAAGGTCTCTTGAATGGACCATCACCTGCAACTTGCCCACAGAAACACCACCGCTAACAGCACGCACACAACTGCCTGCCAGTGGACACCAGTCCTCCAACGAAAGCTGAAATACTAAATGCGATCAAGCTGCTGAAGGCATGCTGGGAAGGCAGCGGGACCAGACGGAATTCCCTTCCACTCTGAAGCACTGGAAACGGACCCACAGACTGACGCAGATGCTCTCACACCATTATTACAAAAGGTTTGGAAGGAAGGAAAGGTGCCTACTGATTGGAAGAAAGGTTGGTTACCTTGTCAAGCTGACAAAGAATGGCGACTCACGCCTCACTCTGCAAGAACTGACTGGCGTGGAATAGCGCTCTTGTCCACGCCAAGCAAAATACTATGTCGCGTCATCCTGGAGTGACTAAAAGATGCACTGGACACAAAACTCCGCCACCCACCGACCACAACGAGCTGGCTGAATTCATGAAAGGCAAATCATCTGCTGATCAAATGCCAACTCTACGCATCGTCATTACACAACAAAGCATAGAATGACAGTCAAAGCTCTCTCTCTACCTCAACTTCCTTCATCGACTAAGAAAAGGCCTTCGACAGTCAGCGTTAACAGAGAAGTGATCTGGAAACTACTTCAATACTACGGTGGCGTGCAGAGCTCAAGTATTTATTAACATCATTCAACAGCTGACTATATGACAATGCCTGCCACGTGTTAGTCAGGTGATCCACAACGGGAAACTCAGAGAGGCGTTCGAAGTGAACGCAGGATTGAGACATGTCTATTGTCCCCGATGACATTCTTAAACGTGGTGGACTAGATTATACGTCAGACTGTGCGTTATGAGTGCTAAAAAAGGAATACGCTGCACTGACAGATTATAAGACTCTAGAAGATGATATATGATTTGATATGATATTTGTCTAAGGGATTCAGGCTAGATTTTTTTATATCACACAAACTCGAAGACTTACCGGCGAAAACCGACAAACTGGCTGAATAAACTGTCGGAGAAGACAGGACTTCAAGTGAACACAGATAAGACGGGGGTGATGAAGATAACCAACCACCACCACCACCGACAGCAGCAACAACAACCAGCACCAATCACCGTCAACGGGAGAGATTTGACAGAGGTTGCTTCCTGCCTATACTTGTTTAGCTATGCAGCATCGTACCAGTTACAGGCAGTCGGAACGGATGAAGATGTCAAAGCCATCCATCCATCAAGTCAGAATCGGAAAGGCAAGATACGCACGCCTTCATCAACCTGAACCCAGTTTGGAAATCTTCTACACTCATCCAGCGTAAAGAACGAGATTCGGATTTTCAACACAAGTGTGAAGTCAGTCAGTCGCTTCTTCTGTGTGGGCCACAAACTTGGCCAACGTGTCAGTCACATGAAGGACTTTTATTAACAGATGCCTTCTCTGGCTGGCTCCAGACGAAGATCCAATGGCCGACCAGGAAGAATTGGCAGCAAGAAACTCTAAATGGGAATAAACCAGGCAAGAGCCGATCGCTCAACAAATATGTAGGAGGAAGTGAGGATGGATTGAGCATACAATGAGGAAGCTGTCGAATGACGTCGTGTACAATGCATGCCATCACTCGAATGGAAGCCAATGGGAAGCGACAAGTGGATCGTCGGTGCGGAAGTGAAATGGAGGAGATCGTGTAAGTTGAAGGAGGAGATGAGAGATTCTGGTCAATCATGGATCCAGATGAAAAGGACAGCAGAGAAAAGAACAAGGTGTAGATGTGTTGCTGAAGCCCTATGTTCCACCTGGAACTCAAGGCAATAATAATAAGTGAGTACTTATATGAAGCGATTATTCACAAGCCTGTGGGTGTGTCACTTATTATTAAATTAGTAAAAGATCTAAAATAACTTGTCAAGTACTGTAGTCGAATTTATTTTTTTACGAGTTGGTCACGGATTCATATCAGTTAGAGAACCATTGAAAACCAGGGAGTACTGGACAGCTATTTCATCCTAGTTTGGGAATCATCGGCAGTACGCACCCACTGGGGTCCGAACCCAGGACCTTCCGGTTACAAGGCGAGCTCGCATACCATTTAGCCACTGGGACCCAATTCAACGACTCATGAACGAAACTAATCCTTACAAACCAACTATAGAAAAAGAATTCATTTTCATGTTACTGAAACTAACTCTCATGTTTCATGAGTAATTGTTTCCGGAAGTTCTTCCTTAAAAAGCCATCATGTACGGTATTTATGAAAAAGGAAAATAATTTTTGTTAAGTTGACTTATAAAAATACCAAGGATGAATGCAATATGTTTCTCGCTATAACAAGACACGGAACATGTTGTTTGCGGTCTGAATGATAAAATTGCTAATGTACGGAATGATTCGGCTGCTTCCTGAACACCGATATGTCAGTATATTTGACGAGTGACTAGGTGGATATATTGATGAAAACTTCATTTTCGGAATAAAATTGACAGCTGATGCATTTGTGCCCTGTCTTCCTGGTGATCTCTTTGTGACTAGGACGATAATTCGAGTCCCTGGATCTTCATACAAAAATAATATGGCTTTCAATGGCATATAAATCTATAGATAACCTCAGGTTCCACGATAGTCTAGGAGCTTATAGAACTGCTTAGAGTGTACAGTAATATCTACCGAAACCATTTGTTTAGCTAGTTGTGTTTCATAATTTCATTTTTGTACATCATTATTAATAAGTTGATTTTCATTTGGCTAGTCTACCTATTTGCTTACAGCTTTCTAAAGGTATTATGGTGTGTAATCATGACAAATCACTCACAACTGTCTTTAAACACTAATATGTTAACTGACATATTTTTTCAGTGAGCCCAAGCAGAGACTAAAATTTTATTGTTTTATTGCAAGTCGGATGTGAAAAGTGTTCTCTTAAAATTTACTGCTGAGATTTATTTAGATATAAAATTAATAAAATAAGAATGCTTAAGTAAGTAGCAGTTTAAATTAGACACATTGCTCTTCATAATGTTGGTGATAGTCCAACTACTCTAAAACTTCATATGATTCATTTTCGTAAAATGTGTATTGTGATATAAACATATTTTGTGTTTTGAAAATATATAATGGCTGTTCTTTCATTTAATCGCAGAATAAAGAAATGTTAATTGCAAACAACTGTCGGCGTCAGTTCTCCTAAATACTATATTATTCTGAAAGAGATTGACTGGTCTCAATATATTATCTGAATAATTATACTGTAAGTTTTATATTATTAGGTGTGCACAAATGATTCGGGCAAAGAAGCTTTATCTAACAGAAGACGACGAGGATTTCAATCAAGCAATTTGCATAGACTTGAGAGGGATGTTAATCATCATCATCAAGCATTTATGGAGGAACGAAGATCAAAACGTGTTCGACGTTTAATACGTAAACTTAGTCTAACAGCGAATGGTTATCACTGTGAATGGAATCAATATGAATATATGGTTAGTGATCATTGTACATGTGGATGTGAACAATCAGCGATGAATTCGAATTAAACAAAAATCCACTTAGAAAGAACAATATACCAATATGAATGTTACTTCTACTTCTTTCCTTGGTAAATTTTTTCTTCCCTTCAGTATTAATACTATATTAGTAAGCATTTGTTCTACTTGCATTTTCCCTTTTCATTCTGTTAAAAACATATTCAGTTGCACTAATTCTTGCTTGTAAGTCAGCTTTGCACAGACATAATTGAAAAAGTAAATCTACCTCTTAACTTAATAAAAAAATATTGTTGGACAGTCAACAAAATTTCAGTCTGCATGCATTTATATAATCGTTTAATAAAATCTTATTATACACTAAATATCTGCTGGAATGTCTGTAGAATTAATTTATGTTTCTGGCTATAATTTCAGTCTGCATAAAACGTGAGTTTAATGACGAATTGTTTTGACAAGATCATTAATAACAAATTTTCACTTCATTTAGAAAACTATGTACTAACCCACTGTTATTTAAAAAAAAGTAAGATTCACAATGATACTGTTTTACTATTGCTATAGATAAATGAATCAGTACTCTTAGACAAGTGCATTTTCGTCTTTTTCAAAGTGTATATTAATGTTCAGATACGAAATAAAACTTTATTTACTCAAATTTGACTTATAACAGTTTTAAGCATAACCTCCTGAATTTGCACTAGACCATACGATTCTGTTCTTTGACTGGACAGTTAGTGTCATGCGTTCAGTTCTTTTTTCGGTGCCGACTAAATTCTAGAAGTCAAGTTTGTAATGTGGTTATACGGTTTCTTAAAATGTCGATTTGGTTCAGAAGGTAACCGCCAACAGTATTGTGATGAAAAATACAAGTGTCGTGTCTCATTTTTTATTACTGACAAAATTTGTTAGTTAAACAGCAAAACCTTAAAATACATTTATGAACTGAGATTGCATTAAATTGTCTGTCCTACCAACATATAAAGACCACTTACATGTAGCCTCATGAGGATGCACAGTTATCAGTAGAAGAAAACCTAGTATAGTTCAAGGTTGGCAAATGTCTAATTCAGCCTTCTTTCGAATATTTCAAAATAACTGTTCAGAATAATGGATTATTTTTGTCGATAATTATAAAAAATAATTTCGACTGATTATAATTGACCATTGTAACTACTTAATGCCTCCCTTGTTTGGCCACCGAGTAAAGTATTCATTATTAACGTTTCCTTCGAAACTTACACTTCTTTCCTTTACTGAAGCTACTAGGCAGTCATTTTCATGAAGGCGCTGCATATCTACTTTCGTAACCAGATTCAGCTATTCTAATGTTTTAACTCTGAATTGTATCTAATTAGAGATTGTATATAGCGTTATACAACCACCTCATTCTTGTTTATTAGTCTACAGTGAAGTTTAATAATTCGTCTGAGTCATACATATTTCATTGTGATGACTCACGCTCGACGGTGATATCCAGCAATCCATAGGTATCTGTTATACGATGATATAAGCAGGTGAAATGATAGATTTCGTAATCAGATTTTCTTCTATTTGGTTCGATACTTTGAGTAATACTCTTCAATACCTGTGATAAGTATATTTCGGCTTAGGACGATGTAGGTGCACACTGTTAATAAATTTCAAGTAAAATTAAGCAATTTTCTAGGAATATTTCACTCATCCTTTAAAAATTAATACTCAGACCATCTAGCATGCATTGTTGAGTGAACATTCAAGGCGTTAACAAACCATACAGTGTTGTTAATTTCTTCTGTGAATAAAAGTTTCAGCAATGAAGCGTGAAATTGTTTGTCTTACACAGCAAGAAAGATCTGTAACTATCACACCATTTTATTTAATCAATATGAAAAGCATATAGGAATTTGAAAGCAAATTATGCATTTCCATGAAGTTATATTAAAATCGGAAATTAGTGAGGTCCTTTCATCCATAAGTAGATCTTACAGACATGAACTGTTCTCAAAAGTTCCTTGTTATCTAACAACTCGATGAAATCAATTAACTAACAAATACTTTTTTTGTTTAAAATGCTGCTTCAGTGTATTTTGAATACCACTCAAGAAGTTAAAATACAGCAGGATTGGTCGAATCAAATAAATGTGTGTAAACAGAACATTCAGAACACAGATTTATATTATGTTGCCTGAGAGTACTATAGTTTACAACTATCATACACAGAAATCACTATTAAGTTACGTAATTGTAAAGCTTATAAGAACATCATCGCTCACTGAGGAATGTAGGTACATCCAGATGAGGAGTCCGAAATGGAACAAAATGTGCATCCTGGATTCTTTGTGCTAGTCACCATCCTCCAATTAACTTCTAATTACATGCCCAATCATCTTCAAAGCGTCTGCACAAGAAGCCGACATGTCCACCTGAGACTAAGCACTTCAGTCCAATCAATCGAGGGGAAAATCCAAGATTGAATTAAATATACTTACAACGTTTTGCTTAGTAAAAGCTATTGACTGTGGATTCTCTCAAGGCTGATACCACTTTTAAATGAACTGACTCTGAAGTACTCACCTGATATGAAAATTCCTACTCACAAAAATTTTTCAGCCGTAAATTACACTCTTAGCAGATAAAGGACACAACTCCGTCAAAGAGTTCACTGTGCATTCCATTTGCAGTCAATATTTAATTGCATAAAATAAATACCCAGCGATTTCTGAAGAAAATATATCTTCATAAAAGTATGCTATAAACCAAAGTGTTCACCAGTATTTTAGCAGAGATTTTATGCAAAATAGTTGTGCCTTCTGTAAGACACATGAAAAATTCATCTTTTTCAATAAAAGAGAATTTCGCACTGAAAAATATTGCTTCTACTGAACAGGAAATGATGGTATGGAGGTTGGAGACATTATCTTATTACTTAAAGTGTGGGTCGTCGATAGATCCATAACTAATATCGAACTTTTGTTGTTCTAATATACGGTCCTACCAACTGATGGAGTGATACATTAATTACACCAGCCCAATCATTTGATAATCCCGTCTGCATTCTCACACGCTAAAACCGTCGTCCGTGTGTTGCAAAATTTTACGTTTTACCAAGATTGGTGAACCTGTTCTTCATATCTTGAAGGATATAAGTGGTGGTGATGAAGATAGGCTAGCTGTGACGCGTCGACAGCAAGTATGACTTTTATTAAAATTTTGAACAACTCATGCGAGCGAATAATTAAGCTTTCAATTAGTACTCATCAGGCTTTACTCATATAAACATAATTTTACAGATAAACAGTGAATATAACCAGTCGTGGTGATCTGTCGATTATTATATATTATTGTTTCCTTTAATTCCTAGAGGAACATAGGGCTTCAGCCGTGCGTCTCCATTGCGTTCGGTTCTCTGCTAGAGTCTTCACCTGGCTCCAAGTCTGCCCACACGTTTTCATCTCCTCTTCACATGACCTCCTCCAAGTCACCCTTGCACTGACGACCAACTCGCCGCTTCCCTTTCGGGTTCCACTCGAGCAATGACTTGTCTAGTGATGTCACTTGATGGTTTCCTCAGAGTATGGCCAGCCAATCCATCTCCATTTCTTCCTGCCTATTTGTTTCACAATCGGTTCCTGGTTGGTTCGCTCCCAGAGATCTCTGTTGCTGATCTTTTCTGGCCGCATCTGATCTTGAGTATTGAGCGAAGACAAAGCTGTTGATGAAGGTCTGTAGTTTGTTTGAGATGCTCTTTATGACGCGCAGTGCAAGTCTCTGATCCGTATAGTAGCACTGACTGACTTCACATTGGAGTTGAAAATCCGGATCTTATTTTTGATGCTGAGTGCTGTTGACCTCCACACAGACTTGAGAGTAGTGAAAGCTTGTCTTGCTTTTCCGATTCTTGCTTTGATATCCTCGTCAGTTCCGCCTGTAGTTGAAACGATGCTTCCCAGGTAGGTGAAGGAGGTTGTTTCTTTCAGGTTCCTCCCATTTATGCTGATCGTTGTCTGTTGTTGTTGTTCTTGTTCAGGAATCTTCATCACCTCTGTTTTCTCTATGTTCACCTGAAGTCCTATCTTCTCTGAATGCTTCTTCTGCCAACTTGTTGCTTTTCACTTGCATATCTTCCAGTTTGTGGGAAATCAGACATATATCATCGGCGAAGTCCAGATCCTCCAAGTATTTTGTGTGTGTCCATTTTATGCCTGTTTCCTCATTGCCCACTGTTTGTCGCATTATCCAGTCTACTGCAATCAAGAAAATCATTGAAGATAGTAGGCAGCCAGCTTGTCTTACTCCTGTCCTCACTTCGAAGGATTCCGTCAGTTTCCCGTTGTGGATTACTTGGCATGCAGCATTGTCGTACAGCTGTTGGATGAGATGTATAATTGTCGGTGGCACCCCGTAGTAGCGAAGTAGTTGCCAAATCACCTCTCGATCGACACTGTCAAAGGCCTTTTCAAAGTCAATGAAGTTGAGATAGAGAGGTGACTGCCATTCCAAGCTTTGTTCAATGATGATCCGTAGTGTGGCGATTTGATCAATACATGACTTGTTTCTCCTGAATCCAGCTTGTTCCGGTCGAAGTTTTTCATCCAGGGCTTGTTTGATTCTCTCCAGGATGATGCGGCTTAGTATTTTGCTTGGGATGGACAGGAGCATAATTCCGCGCCAGTTCTTGCATTGACTTAAGTCTCCTTTCTTTGGTAGTTTGAATAAGTATCCTTTCTTCCAATCCTCGGGTACTTTGCCTTCTTTCCACACCTTCTCCAGTAGTGGCGTCATCAAGTCCGCTGTTGTCTCTGGGTCCATTTTCAACGCTTCTGCTGGGATTCCATCTGGTCCTGCTGCTTTTCCAGCTTTTAGCATCTTGATTGCCTTCAGGACTTCTGATTTCGTCGGGGGGTTGGTGTTCACTGGTAGCTCTGTCTCCGTTGTTGGTATTGCTGGGCGCGTTGTAGGTGGTGGTCGATTTAGGAGTCTTTTGAAGTGTTCAGCCCAGTGTTTCCTTTGCTCCACTTCTTTGGTGAGTGACTTTCCATTGTCATCTTTCACTGGCTTAATTTGTGTCAAACTTTTGCCCGATAGGTACCTAGTTGTTTGGTAGAGTGTTGCGAGGTCTCTTTTGCCTGCAGCTTGTTCTGCTTCACTTACCATGGTTTCATAATATTTTCTTTTGTCTTCTCTGGCACTCTTCTTTACTCTTTTGTTCAGTGTTTTGTAGCTTGCGCTCAAATCCTGTTTTTGTTGCTCATCGGTGCACTGGAGAATCTTTTGTTTCACCATCCCTCTCTCTTCTGTTAGTTTCCAAGTGTCCGTAGTGAGCCATTGTTTGTCCTGTCTCTTCTTTCTGCCTAGAATTTCCATGCAGGTTTGACTCCACACTGTTTTCAAGTTGTTCCAGTGCTTTTCGACGCTGACCTCTTCGCCAGTGTTTATTTGTGTCTCGGCTTTGTCCTTTATGCTTGCAGTGAAGATATCCTTTGTGTCCTGGTCCTTCAGTTTTTGAGTGTTGAACTTGGCTTGTGGTCTATCTGCAGCTCCTGTTTCTCTGAAAGCTTTTAATTTGATTTGGATTGTCCCTTGTACGAGATAGTGGTCTGAGCCAACGTCTGCTCCACTTCTTACTTTTGTGTCCAGCAGACTGAGCCTCCACTTCCTTGACATTGAGATGAA